CCCCTAGTAGCCCTTGCTTCAATTTTGAGCCCCTATGTTCAGTTTTTCAAATTTTGGTGCATCTGGCTCTCTTTTTGGGCGAAATGCACTGTTTTGTCATTTTCCCTCTTTTGTTTCTTTCCATTTTGGGCTGCCACCTCATTTCGGAGCTAGCCGTTTTGAGCTGGCCCACAAAAAACAGCTAGTTCCTCTCTACCATGAGATCTGATCTCAGATCCATGGTCCAAAAGCAAACCGGCCACTTCCTTTTTGCATTTTCTCTCATTTTCAGCTTTTTAATTCAGATTTTATTGAGATATGGCCCTAAGGGCCATATGTCTGCAATCCGGATTACCCTCTCTTATTCTAGGAGGGATGAGGTCACTGTTGGGACCTGCCAGTCCCTACTGTGTAGGTCCCAATAGGCCGGCACATTCTCCTCCACTCTTTTCTCCCTCTTTGTCTCATTCTCCCTCCTTTTTCTCTCATTTTTCTTTCTTTTTCTTTTATTTCTGTTTTGACAATTGTCAAACTGCTGTGCACCCTCTTTCTAGGCCCTAGGGCCTCATTCAAGGCCAGGTTCATGGCTGTTACATGGCCGTTATATCTCGGATTCCAATAATGGCACCCCCATGCTCCTAGGAGGCTCCATTTTGCTCCCGTTTGCCCAATTCTGAGCCCCTTTTGCTCCGATTTTCTAAGGGCAGCCTTTTTCTCATGTTGGACCTCTCAAGGCTCTATTTTCTTATGCCTTGCTAGTCCGAGATATCCCGGGCTGCTGGCCAGCCTTCCCAACACCCTTATTTCATTTTTCTTTCTCTCATGGCTCTCCCACTTGCTCCCACTAGTGCTTGCACTAGTGGTGCTAATATTTTCCACCGTCTAGATTCTCGATCTCGACGGCGTCGCTTGCTTGCACAATTATTCCTTGTGGTTGCTCATGGTTCCCTTGGGACATTCCAAGTCCCCGCCATTCTCCTCCATACTAGTCCCATGTTCTTGTCCCGCCGGTGGTCGCGCCGGCGCATGTCCCGTTTTCCGATTTTTATTATTTTGACCCATTTGGTCCCCGACAACATTCCGGACGGCATCCCATTTTTATTTTTTTGGGGCCAATTGCCCTTGGTGGTCCCATCATTTCTACATGTGTGCCGATTTTTCTAGGCCGCGAGATCCCATCTTACGGTCGCCGTTTACCGTCTTTACTTGCCCCTTTGCCAAAATTGTTTCTTTCTGGCCTTTCTGGGTTTGCCGTAGCCCATTTCCCCTTGGCCTTGGCATCCTTATGCAGTCCGTAATTTCTCGGACTGCAGTCATGGCTGTTTTCCATACCCACAGCCCCACAACTTGCCCCATGTTGAAAGAAAATAAAGCGTTAAATTTTCTACTGCATCCGGGCTCAATATTGGCTCCGGATGCACTTAGAACATGTGTTTTCCTTCCCCCATGCAGTCCGTTGTAACTCGGACTGCAACGGGGGTCAATTCCTTAGCCCTAATGCCCCACAATTAGCCCTCACTCAAAAGAAAAAGAAACGGCCCACTCCCAAGTGCATCCGGACTTGATTTTGGCTCCGGATGCACCTAAAACATGTGTTTCTCCTCATGCATGCATTCCGTTTTATTCCGGTTGCAAGAGGCCTTGATTTTCTTTGATTTTTTCTGCAAAAATCAAAGAAAATCAAAGTCCTTTGTAACCGCCATATTCCAAAATGAATCTGGTCACGGATGAATCTCCCCAAGTCACCGTTTTTGACCGTTAAGGCCTTTTTCTCTTTTCTTTTCTTTTCTTTTTTTTTCTTTTCTTTTTCTCATCCTTTCTTGGACGGTAGGGACCTGCCAGTCCCTACCTATGGCAGTCCCTACTGACGGCCAACTTACTCACTTCCTCTCACTTCTTTTGTCTTATTCTCCCCCACTTTCTTTTCTTTTCTCTCTTTTTTCTAGCATGCCAAGTGTGAAGTGGCCGTTAAGGCCCTTTTCTAGCCTCTTCCTCTTAGTTTTGGCCCTCCCTATGCCCAAGGTGCAGTCCGTTATTTCTCGGACTGCAACAATGGCCTTCCCATGCCCATGGGAGCCTCCTTTTACTCCTACACTTCTCCCCCAATGGTCCCTCCTACTCCGATTTTCTACCGGAGGGCTATTCTCCACATGGGGTCTCATTTGACTCTATTTTCTTGAGGGAGGCTGATCCGAGATTTTTCGGTTTGCTCCCATGCCTCCCACTTCAGTTTTCTTTACTTTTCCTTTTCCTTTTGGCCTTCCCGTTTGTCACCACTAGTACTTGCACTAGTGGTGCTAATATTCTTGGTCGTCAAGATGTCGATCTTGATGGTGCACCTTGCATTTATTATTTTCCCCTCATGCGGTGCCGCCGTTTCTTCTTGGGACTTTCACATGTCCCCGTTACTTGTCCCGTTGGTGGTTCTCGACACTTAGTCCCGTCGGCGGTCTCCGACACTTAGTCCCGTCGGCGGTCCCCGACACTTAGTCCCGTCGGCGATTCCCGACACTTAATCCCGTCGGCGGTCCCCGACACATTAGTCCCGTCGGTGGTCCCCGACACATTTCGCCACGTACCCCATTATTTTTACTTAGTCCCACGTGGCCCCGGGTGCCTTTCCCCGAGGTGTCCCATGCTCCTTGGGCGTCTTGTCCCCCACAGCGACCCCTCTCCTTAGTCTTTCCTCGCGCTTTGTGCGTGCCGATCTCTTTGGTCGTGGGCCTCCGCTCCGAGGCTCCCGTAGGTGGCCTCCGTGTTCGCCCTCATTTCCTGGCTTCCCGCGGCTTCTGGCCGCCCATTCCTCGACTTCCTCATTCCATTATTGCTGTCGCGCTGCAATTGATAGTTCAAAGGGCCCTTTGGCCTTAGTCTTATTGCATTCCGATGGCCCTCCCGGCCTCCTGCTATGTTCTATGTGCCCTTGTTCTTGCGCTCGCTTGCTTGCCGCCGCTAGTTCTTTCCTCCTGTGGTTCTCTCCTCAGGGCATCACTCCCTTCTGCAGCCTAATCCTTTGTCTTTTCTCTCTCCTGCTTCCTCACTCAAGATTTCTCTATTGTGCACAAATTGTCCGTATTCAATCTCTCGAGTGTTGGGAAGTTATTCGGGACCCACCAGTCCCGACAACGGGGAGCATTGGCAGTTCAGTCCCTGCACAGGTGATTTGCGTCAGTCTGGCCCCAGTACATTCAACATCTATGACTGGTCCCTGTGCATGAGATGTTTCACTGATCATTTACTGTTCAGCCGGGCCCTTCAGGCGGGCCTACTTGAGATCGTTGCTATTCAGCCGGGCCCCGTCAGGCGGGCCTACTTGAGATTGTTGCCGTTTTCAGCCAGGCCCCTTCAAGCGGGACCCTTCTTCTGAGAAAGCTGCTGTTCAGCCGAGCCCATTCAGGCGGGCTTTATATTGAGTTGCTGTTCAGCCGGGCCCATTCAGGCGGGCCCTATATCGAGTTGCAGTGCAGTCAGGCCATTCAGACAGGCCTCCACATTGAGTTGCTGATTGCTATCCGGCCAGGTCTTGGAGGGAGTATCTGCATCAGTGAGAGCGTGCATTCCATCCAAGCTGGCCCGACGTCGTGAGACTACCCCTAAGTGGGGTAGATTGATTGAGAGGTTCTGCTACAGACATGTGGGACATCAGAGTTTCACTATCAGAGCTAATAAGTCCTCGACTTCGAGACACACGCTCGTGATTACCTACTCGGTGAAGGGGGCAGAGACGGGAGTGAAGAGAACCACATACGACAGGATTGCGGATTACATATTTCGCAGGGAGAGCTATTGGAGGGACAACTGGCTGCACGTGGTGTTTCCTCGCGTACCTTCAACTCCTGGGGGTGTGCTCTTCGATTTTGACGGATGCAACCCCAAGCCCCTTAGTGAGCCCCGCAGCAAGGAGAAGAGGCGGAAGGACGACCGGATCCAGAGAGAGATAACCAGATYCGGAGTCCCAATCACTACATGTGTCCCGAAATCAGAGACAGATGAGTCGGATTTGGAGCCCTGCTCTGTGAGTGACCTTGATCTTGGCAATTATTTTGATTGGGACACTCACAGGGGTTGAGTTTGTGGACAGCGACAGGAGCGCTGGAGACCAGTGAKCGGAGACGTCGAAGGGCGACATTGAGGAGGATCGCACATCTTCKTGCACGGTATCTTCTTGAGGGTGATTGACTCCTACATGTCAGACGACCCTAGGTCTGAGACAATTATTGGTCCCCCAAGAGGGGAAGGACCGGTCCCRTACCTCGGAGATGGCTATAGTCATTTGGTCGGGACAGACTTTGCTATGCAGGCTTACCGAAAGCCTCTTTACGGAGATCGCTTTCTCGAGGTTTCCTACATTTACTCCGGTGGGAGAGGACGTATTGAGATATTGATTGGAGCTTCAGGCGATATCATTCTTGCGGAGGAGTTTTATCTCAGGAGCGTCGCAGACGAGGAGATGGCTAGATGCATGGCCTACATCTGCAAGATTAATCCAGCAGCGCCTTTCGACATCAGCTACGTGGTTCCAGAGTCAATAGCCACGCGAGTTCTCAATTACGAGGAGTCCCAGACGGCAGCACTCAGTCACGAGGGGGTACCGCTCATTATCATTAATTGAGGCTCTCTCTTTTCAGTCACTATTGATGTATTACGACATTATTATTTATTAGTGACTGCAGCCCTCCAATGGCTGCTCCCTGCATACTCTGTGTACTAGTCTTCGGTCTCGTATCGTTGGTCATGCTCTTGTAGAGTCTGGTTTCTGGTCTTCTCATATTGTCAGTGTCAATTGCTTTATGATGCATGTATGTTATTTTCCTCCTTATTTTATACAGGTTACACTCAAGGCAGCTTGAAGGATTCCTGAATGATAGGGACTCCGGTGACCTTGGGTCTATCCTTTATACGGGGTCAGGTGCAGGCGATAAACCCGAACGCCTCACTCTAAGTCGTGTCGCCGCTGGCAGGAGGGATAACCCTGACTACTCGGTTGTATGTCAAAGTGTGACTGCCTCTTTATACACCTCTATTTTTATACCTATCAAAATCCTGCGTGACAGCCTGCCCGTAACGTTAAAAGAGCAAACCTTTACACTCATGGAAGTCAGGCTGACTGCTAGAGTCAACCTGGATATGCTCACGGATGAGACTGAGTTCCGGGTCCTTGGCAGTATTCTCAACCAGTTCCTCCTTCAAGTTCTTACGGAGGTCATAGGAGCCCACAAGACAAGACATGTACTCAGGGTGACGAGACAAAGCATCCGCAATGCGATTGTAACAACCTTTTTTGTGCCTAAGTTCGAAATCATACACAGCAATCTCATGCAGTCTGCGGGTCAATGTAGTTGATGGATTATTCTGTGTCTGAATCCATTTCAAAGTCTCGTGGTCTGAGAACACTTTGAAATAGCGACCCAAGAGGTAGTGCTTCCAATGATCTAGTCCCTCTCTCAAGGCATAGAGTTCTCGCATGTAAGTGGAGGCAACTACCTTGTGACTGGGCATACGTTTGCTGTAGAATTCGAGCGGACGTAAGTCGTCGCCGTCATCTTGTTGCAGCACTGCACCAATCCCATACAAGCTTGCATCCGTAGTTACTATGAATGTAAGTTTGGAATCTGCAATGCGGAGCACCGGATGACTCGCCAAAGCCTCCTTCAATGCTTGATAGGCTGTTGTGCATTCCCCATCCAATGTGTAGGACACATTCTTGGTGGTCAATCTGGACAGCGGTCGGGCAGTAATAGAGAATTTGGGTACAAACTTATGGTAGTATGATGCAAGACCAAGAAAAGAACGCAACTCACGAACATTTGTCAGTTGAGGCCATTTGCGGATGACCTCAACTTTGGTTGCCTCGGGCTCTAGGCCTGCAACAGACAACCGATGTCCAAGGTAGATGACGTTATCCCTCCCAAACTCGGATTTCTCCAAGTTGAGATGGAGCTGCGCATTCTTAAGGATCTGCAACACTTCCTCAAGGTGTCTCATGTGCTCCTCCATCGACTTGCTGAAGATTAGTATGACATCCAAATAAACAACAACAAATCGATTGATCTGATTGCGGAACACCTTATCCATGAGACTTTGAAAGGTGGTCGGTGCATTCGTGAGGCCGAAGGGCATGATGGTAAGCTCGTACAACCCATCGCAAGTTTTGAATGCAGTTTTATACTGGTCTGCATGGTCAACTTCAATCTGGTGGTAGCCAGACTTGAGATCGATCTTGCTGAAAACCTTGCATCCACCAGCAGCATCAAGAAGATCATCAATACACGGCAAAGGGTATGCATTTTTTCTTGTTATTCCATTCAGTCCGCGGTACTGAATACACATTCGTAGATTGTCTCCTTTTTTCGGGACAAACAAAACCGGTGCACCGAATTCGGATTCGCTTGGCTTGATCCATCCCTTCCCAATCATGTCATCGATCTGTCTTTGCAACTCTTCCAATTCGCCTGAGCCCATTCGATAGACACAGCCTTTTGGAGGAGTGCTACCTTCTATCAACTCGATCTTGTGTCGGACCGGACGCACGGGGACTCCATGCGGTTCGGCCAAGACTTCAGGAAATCGGTTGAGAAGGTTGCGGATTTTTGAAGGGACTTCCGAAGGTGGGTCATCACTTTCAGGTGCAAGCATACCGTATTACATAGGTGCAACCAAAACAACAGAATTTGAAGTAGAGTCGTTTGGATAGAAGTAGACTTAGTAGAGGTAGAAGTAGTTGCATTATAAGTAGAAACGACATGCAAAGTTGAATCATTAGGTACAGCAAAAATCGAAGGCACATGAGCAGGACTAACAAAGGCTATATACATTTGCCCATCAAATTTACGCCTGCACCACTTTTTGCAGAATTGCATTGCATCGAGAAAAGTTACTTGGGACTCATGCGACTCATCCAAGAGGACTGGACGCTCGATTCCCATGGCATCTTTGACCAGGAATTGTGAGTCATTTCACATGGTTCTTTCACATTCAGCCTGCAAACAGCCCAAGCCCATAACCGCGTCGAAGGGGCACTGATCAAGGACATAGAAGTTCAACTTATGCGTGATTGTGCGGTCTGCGTCAAAGGTAGTGCGCACACCTTAGACTGCATACGTAGATGTGACAACCTCTTGGTTGCCCACTTGGGTCCAGCAAGGATTTTGCAAGGTCACTTGCTTCATTCCCAAGCGTGCCTTACAAATGTCGTGCGGTGAGAAGTAGTAGGCGGTTGTGCCACAATCAGCCAACACACGGATGTAACGACCGTTAATGCGGAATTTGAAGAAGATCAACTTCGTTTTCCCCTGCACACGTTCTTGCTTCATGTGAGCCCAGTGAGTGAAGAGAGCATGAAAGTCAATTTCTTCCGACTCCACCCAAGGCTCCTTGTATAGGATGTGCACTTTCTCAGCCTCGGAATCAGCATCAGATGGGGTCTCGGGCGAGGTTTGCTGAGTGGGATCAGAATCCGGGGAAGGATCTACACTTACATGTTCAACCTCTTCGTCTGTAGAATGTGTTGATTATGTCTCTACCCCCTTTGTTGGTTTTCCTACCGCAATCTAAAGCAATGTTGGACCGAGTGTCCCGGTTTGGTGCAATGCAGACAAACCCCTTTCTTCACCATGTGTTTCCACTCACTTTCACTGATCCGGAGATCTACCCATGGTTTTGTGGCAGGATCTTCCGGTCTGTGTGGAATCTTCGCTCCCTTGGGAAGGAGAACGGTGTTAGTATTGTTCTTCATTGTGGTCCTTAGTCCCTTACTTTTGAAGGCAGTCTTCTTGAAGGCATTCATAGGTTCATCGCCATTTACATACTCAGACTCATGGGCTGACGAAGAGCAAGATGCCTTGCGGCCTTGCTCTTGATCGTCATCAAGAGAAGGATCCTCTGCAAAGGTCTTCTCGTCATCCTCAAGCAGATCGTACGCTGCAAAATAGTTGCTGCTCGGAACCCGTTTGCAGCCGGTGGTCTTTTTGCCACCCGATCCACCCGGGAGGTCTTGTGCCTCCAGCTTGACTAAATCCCGCATGAGGGTAAGCCAATTTATATACGTTATGAGTCTGAGCCCCAAACGATGTATCACAGTATAGGGGACCGAACCTTTTATCACACCCAAGCAAGACTGCGCAGTCATCTCCAGATCCGGAGTAGCAAAGAGTTTACTAACATACTCTTGCAGACTATGCATGGTGCCTGTCCACTTGTTGTGCTTGAGCTTGTCAAGCTTAAGTCTAACTTTGGCTGCAGCATGTGGATCAGCATATTGTATGATCAAGAGTTCCTCGAGTGTGGCTACAGGCGTACTCTTCAACCATTTGTTTAGGTCTATTCTTTTATAGCCTGCTTGTACAACTTGGATTTCTAAGAAACCCCTTACGGCGGGTTCCACATTGGTCCCTAAGACCGACGACTGAGTAATCGGGAGTGTCCCCAGCGCATCAAAGTAGGACCGCATAGAGCTGATCCATGATTCAATGTCGTCCTTTCAGTCGTATTTAGACGGAATCTGTGCCGCCTTTCTATCCATGTAAGGAAAGCTTCAGCTAGGACCAGCGGTTGCTAGGTCCGAATTCGGGGCTGCAACAATTCCAAAATGCCCTGCACTGCCACTTGCCGCTGCAGCAGCAGCAACAACAACAGCGGGCTATGGACCTGCTGCAGATCCGGATAGGCTCTGGGCCACACTCAAAGAAGAAGAAGAAAAAGAAGAAGAAGGAAAAAAAAAAAAAAAAAAAAAAAAAAAAAAAAAAAAAGAAGACACGGTTAGAGGGGCAAAACGGACTGACACGCAACACTAGAAGCAGGGTAAGCAGGCGGAAGGACACTTTGGGCCAGCTGCAAGTTAGCAAAACTGTTGTAGCTGGTCACGGTGTTGCCGCGCCATCAGGGCCATATCCTCGCGCAACTTCTTGAGTTCGTCGAACGCCTTTGCGAGTTGGCCAGTATGGTCTTCGACAACCCAGACTTCTAATAAGGCCCTGAGGAGTGGGACAGTCTTCTCTTCCACCCCAGCATCAGTTAAGGCGGGCACAGTACTGAAGACGACTTCATGAACTTTTACTTTGTCTTCCCTCTCCTTCTCCTTCTCTTCCTCTTCCCTCTTCAATGCTTTCTCATAGAAGAACAGGTACTGCGTTTTTTCTGCCTCAGGGGCAGCGTCCATTTGCAACTTCCATTTTGTTGCAGATGCCATGATGGAGGACGAGGGAGTCAATAAGTCTCTCAAGAGAGGTTCGTACTTCCTCACACTTCTAGGACGAACACTCCTCTTCCCTCTCCTCACTCCCTCAAGAGCAATGCTCAGAAACTTCTCTCTTCTCTCTCTCTCTCTCTCTCTCTCTCTCTCTCTCTCTCTCTCTCTCTCTCTCTCTCTCTCTCNCTCTCTCTCTCTCTCTCTCTCTCTCTCTCTCTCTCTCTCTCTCTCTCTCTCTCTCTCTCTCTCTCTCTCTCTCTCTCGTTTGTGATCGTGTAGACACAGGCAATTAACGAACCCCATGAAAGAAACAGTCGTGAAAGCGGTTAGAAGAGAAGGTAGAACTCCTAGCCGGAGCGACAATTCATTTGGACTGGAGAGCAGTCAAAACAACAAAAAAATAAAAATAAGAGAGATCTGATTTCGCCACACAGTCTGGACTGACTACGTATGAGGTCCTCTCAAGCCTAGCCGGACTCAGCTCCGTAAAGACACAACAAATCAGATTCAAAGTGTACCACGTAATGCAAGAGAGAATTGAGTGGTGTCCAAGGTGCGGGTTAGGCGGAGGATCGTGCGGTAAAGTTCGTTAAGAACGTCTCAACTGAGATCCCCTCAGTAGCGAGTGTCCTGGTCCGAAAGCATGAGTCCCGAGTCCCAATCAGATAAAGCAATGTAACTGACGTCAACAAATTTGGGCCTGAGGGGCCCTTCTTGTTTGGGAGCGGTCCCACTGAGTCCCAAATGGTCCCAGTGGAGTCAGAACCGGGTCCCAACCAACAAGAGTTCCACAAAGACCTACTCTCTATCCCTACCAAATTGAAAAAGCCCCAGAAAGAACCTACAGACTACAGGCGTTCAAAATGAAATAGACAAAGCACTCTAGAAAGATATGGCATGGCACACAAGATACTCCATGCATTCACTCATCAGGCGAGTAAGTAGTCCACACACCTCACACGCAATCAAGACTATAGAGGATGGAAGAAGAACCCAGAATACCCCAACAGGCAATCAATTCCATGCACACACACATGGGCACCCTGGCGGCACGACACTTACCTGAGTGGTCGGGCTCTTGAGATGAAAGAACTCACCCCGCTCTCACATAGTCCTCCTGACCCAATTAGCATCCACTACACTAGTGTCCTATCATCTAGGAGGGTCAACATCTACCCCAAAGTACAAAGCCGGATCCCCTGTCGATGTTGAAGATCAAAGTAGCAACTTTCAGTCCGTAGGTGCAGATATGGCTGTCACCCTCAAGCTCGCCTAACTTGAGGGAAGCCCTAAAGTCACTCCTCGTCTTCCTTGAAGTCCAGATTCCAGTTGTAGGTGCCCTTCACCGTCGCCTCTCTCAAATTGCATCACGAAACCCCACCTTGTGTCTCGCCACCACAAACATGCACTCAAGCTACCTGGCCGGGTCTGATGTCCACCCTACATGGCCCTGCCAGGTGGGAGCAACTTCCCTTCACCACGCTGCCCCACTTAACCCTAACTTCCAGCCCTAACCCTAAGTGGTTAGCCCTTACCACTTAGGTGAGGGTTATGGCAGCAAAGTCAACTCTCGCCAGCAAGTAGATTCCGCTCCGATACCAATGTTACGATCCTGGCCAATTTCGAAGTATATATTCATCAGAAAGTACAATTCCGTCCAATTGCAAAAATAAATGAATGAACTTGAGAGGAGAGTGAGGGAAAGAAGAGGAAGAAGAAGTAAGAAAGAAGAGGAAGATGATGTACTCCAGCATAGAGCAATGACAAGGCTCTTCTTCTTCGCCAACCAATCTCCTCCTCCTTATCTCCTCCCCTCCTATTCAAACAAGAAATAACAATAATAATGTTGAATGACTGAACCAGAATCAATGTCCGAATCCCACTTCTACTGCAGGCACAACATGAGGTCCACCATAGCCGTGGCCACCCTTCCTCTTCCTCTTCATATAGGCCAAGGCTATGGTGGAGCACTGAGGGCTCTACCCTCCTGTCCAAAGGACAACCCAAAGCAGCTATGTCGCTGCTCTCTTGTCCCAAGGTCAACAACAGGCAGCTATGCCGCTGCCCACTCAACCGCCATGCCTGAGTCTGTCCCGAGTTTCCTTGGTGCTGCACTACCCCAACTGGGGCCTTCCAGATGCAGCACCTAACGAGGTGATGAAGATGGTGTCCACCATAGCCAGGTAAGTACCTTGCCACTCTCCTCCATGGTCCCCTTCTCCCTCCTCCTACCGGTAGAGCTCCACCATAGCCAAGGTCAAAGCTCCCGACTTCTTCCTCCCAGCAGCGCTGTAGCAGCCAGCGCTCTTCCAACCAATGCTCCAGCAGCATGACGCCCAGCTCGCACACTGAAGAATGAGGCCGAGCTCTTCCCTCGGCCTCTTGATATAGCGGCCTGCTTGCCTTCTGGGCGGTGACTTCCAGGCCGCTCGGCCTCCCAAGCAACCGGTACCTCCTCCCTTTCGGAGGGAAACATCATTGCAGACTCTGATATTGCCCGTACAGGCTCTAGACTCAGACTGGATGGGCTCGTATCGGCCTAGACCTAGCCTACCGCTACTGGGCCTCTAAAAATGCCAACTTTGTCTTCTTCTGCTCGGCCTCGAGTACCCGGCACATCTAATGCGACTGGGTGCGGTACCGGCCTACTTGCTACTTGAGTGCTTTTCCGCTGCTCTATGCACCGCGGGCCCCTGGCTCCGCTACTTGAGTGTTTTCCCTGCTGCAACCCTCAATGCCACGACCACAGGTAAGTACCAGCCCTACGAGCCTGCCAAACAAGCAAGTACCCTTGAGGGTCACAAACACACTCATGCCGACAAGCACTCAGACAGGCATGCAAGTCAACAGGCACGCACACATACAGACTTAGAAAACTCAGCAGAATGTGGGAATCTCAGCAAGGCATCCATTCCATCGGCAGAACTTCAGAAATCAGCAGTGTTCTCAGTCTGTGTTATGACGGGTCATCACAGAGTTGAGATTTCCTGACATGTGAGACCTTTCTCCTGCCTCCATTTGCCATCTATTCTTGACTCCTAGCGGCATAGACCATGACCTGGACTGCGTCTAGTACCTCATGGAGGGGGAGTAACCTGACAAAAAGACTCTTTTAGCAGGCTCCACCAACTCCCATCCTCAGTGCAGGGGCAAAATTCTAAGTCTATTAGTGGGCTGCAGACCTACCGGACATTGGTATTTAACTGTTTCTTTGCCCCTCCGTTTTGCATAGACTACAATGGACACAGCTCGAGGTAGGGAGATAATGCAGTCTTCCTTCTCCTCTAATGAAGACAAGATCCTCCCCTTGTTAGTAGTGACCGAGAAGGGTGTGACTATCGCCTGGCCCTGGTCTAGGCATTCCCGCACCTTCCACATGTCCATCGATGGAGCAGTTTCACCAGTTCTTACCAATTGTCCCCTTTAGGACCTCTACTCAGTGCCACCCAGGACTCACGAGGGTCCCTTGCCGACCACTCACCTTGAAGGTCCTCTAAGGCTTCAAACACATCCAACGTGCAGAGTATAGTTGGGTCTGGATGCGTCTGCGGGGTGACTAAGGAGTCAATAGCTTTGGCCAACTCTTGAACCGGGGAGGGTACATCACCCGTTTCAACGAGAGTAGAAGCAGCTACATCTTCTACCGGCCCTAAGTGTTTCCTGAGTTGGAGCTCGTAGAGGCCCCAGACTAAGAAGAAGGAAACCCACCCTTAGGAGGGATCTTTTGCGAGACCTTCGGGTTCTTGCATTTAAAATGCGTATGGCCGTACTCGCCACAGTTTATGCAAGCACCTCGCGACCAACGGTCCCGCCACACTTCTTGATCCAGCCCTGCCCTAACCCAAGCTGCTATTTTGTTTGGGTTGGCGGCCTGCCCCTGACTCCTTTGCTGAACGCCCTTGCCGCGGCCTGTTGCCTTAGTCTTAACTACTGCGGCGAGGTCGCTACCCTCAACACTCTCCTCGCCGTCTAACTCTGCACCCTCCACAAGTTCAGAAACATCATCGATTTCAGTTTGATTCCCTTCGGAATCAACCATCATCAATCG